CTTGACTTTTTATTCATCACTTCCGCCCATATGCAGCATCTCAAAGGGAATCTTTAAGAGCACTCGATTGACCCATGAACAGCAAGTAGAGAAACTGAACAACGCGATTTTACGCACCGAAAAAGATGGAACTGATGCCAAAGACTCGAACAGATCCTGTCAAGCATTCGTTGGAGAACATCAAAAAACTTGTCGGGAATCACAAACTCTTGGGTCAGATGTACAGCGTAAATTGTTACGTTGTTTACGGGATGAGGAGCTGGACAAAGCGAACAATACCATTGAATGTCTGAGGCAGCAGGTTCTTTTCTATCTCATCATCCCTCTCCGAAATATCCCCATTTACTTACCCCATTCTAACAAATTTCAGTTTGGGTGTATTCTGCCTTGAATTTTCTTGTTTTTCTTTTCTTTTCATTACACCTGAAAAGATTGAACGTTATTTCCCCACCGATGGACAGTGGCAAATCTGGTAAGCTAAGGAGGTTCTTAGTAAACAACGAGTTCACATTGTGAGCAAAATGCATTTTAAGGTGGAAAAATTATCAGCAATCCAGAAAATATCTGCACCTGATGAGTTAACGAGAAATCTCAAGCAAGAAGCGATTCGTGTATCCGAGCTGGAAGGTGAAATACGACATCTTAAGTCAGAACTGCAGTAAGTGACTGGCACATTTGCCTCTAGCTACCGGAAGAAGATGAAATACACTCTTTTTTGAATGAGTCGTTTCACATTCGATCACTTGTATGATTCATTATCATTTAGTTCAACACTACAATTTGAAAAGTTTCATCTGATTCCATTCGCAAATGTTTATTCAATCTCATTTTAGGAAAAAAAATCATTGAAAGGCCCGAATCGATGCAAAACATAACACTGAATATGAACTTTGTGAATTGACCAGTCATTTTTTTTTTGGTAGAAGTCTTTAGTTAACAATTTTTCAGGAACGAGAAAGAGCAACGCAAGAACGCAACAATTCTGCTCATTGAAATGGGTCGTGATATGCGTTACCTTATTGACTCGGCACGCGATCGTAGTTGAAGTTTTTATGGGATATCCGAGTGAAAGAACGACACTGCCGTACTAAATTCGTTGATTTCGTGCATTTTCCTATGATCTCATGCATACCTTTCTTGCGCTGTGTCACATGTATAAAGCTTTGAATTTCTCGTATGTGAATCGTTTAATCGGAGAGTTCGTCGATTACATTCACATCTGTTATGAATGCAATGTATGCCAAATACATCAAAAGCGATTTCAAATGACGCATAATCGAGAGACACACACAAACACGGCTTAATAAGACACGGCTAAACGGGTTGGATGAATGAACAAACGAGTCAAATATTCGTGTTGGATTGCAGCAGCATTGACCAACTACTCATCGCTTTTGCGACCTGATTCTGGTCTTGATAAAAAGATTTTTCACCTGAGGAAACATCGATTCGTAACGTCATGAATCATTCGGATTAATTAGTAAAGATACATCTGAAGATTTTTTTAGAAAACGTCGGTTTTAAAAAAATTGGTTTTCTAAAATCTTCTCATTTTTTAGAAACAAAGAGAAGATTTTAGAAAACGAATGTATTTAACAAAAACAAGTGTCCGTAAATGTGTATTCATTCTGACGGTTCCTACACGATAAAATATGTGAAAATGTGGGAAATGCTATTTGTTCATAGTTTTTGAATTGAGGCCTATCGTTTTCACGCTAACTGTGTGCTGTAGCAAATAGTTTGCGATTGATCCAAAGTCTTAACACTAGTTTAGAACACGGACTAGTGTGTGCTTACTTACGAAATGCATGAGTATTTAGCGATTAAACATTTGAAAAGCGATGTAGTTGAAAGTCGTTTTTACAACTGATTCTTTGAAAGTCATTCAATTGAAGAGCAAAAATCAAGATATCGATAAATTGACGTTGCAGCACATAAGTTTATGCGGATGTGTTACAACAATGGTTCTGTTCGAAAGTTGCAGTTCGAGGCAATCGATGTTGAGGTATTTTGGAGGATTCTCGACTGATGACTGAAATTATGAACGAGAATGGTGATTGCAAAACGGAAACATTCATGACAATCGTACTTTATGAAAAATAGGATGAAAATGAAAGAAATACAAATTGAGACAGGATAAAAGTGACGAATATTGTTCGGATCATAATTCAATATTGAACTGCACGTTTTGTTGATCGGCACAGTGTTGATTGCTCACGAAGAAGGAGTTATGTACAAGGAGAGAAAGTCTGCAATTATAACTAGCAATCGGCTGTTGTCTGTCTTGATGTCCTTTGCATCGATGGACCTTCCAAGTCAACAAACGTATCGGATGTTACAGATGATTTGATTCCGTCCCTGAAAAACTAGGTGTATGAACTACTTAGGTTCCATCTATGTTTTCTCGTGATAACACTCAGAATTACGAAATATCTGCGAGTTTGGAAAATCGGAAATCTTATTCGCATTGAGAATGAACGACTGAAGTGAGCAGGAATTAAAAGAGGCAAAAATTCATAGCAAACATCATGCAGATTCTATAGAAATATGTTGGTTTTTAATTGTTCTTGGGTGGAGCGAAGTGTTTTTAGAGGTTTATTCAGTTGATGATCACTACAAATGAACGGAATGAGCGGATGAGAAGTACTTCTGCTTCTATTTTCACGATTAACGAGAGCAAAAAATGCAGTTCATTGAAAAAGATTATATGAGAAGTCATACTGAGTTCCGCTTCGAATCATCTCGAGGGGAATGCGATCATCATCCGGTTCTCCATCCTCATCATCCCATCGCGTATAGTTGCTTTCACCAGGCATCAGCAGATAACATCCAATATTGCTGCTATGACATATGAGTAGAACGGAAAGCACTATGAGAAGAACAAGACCGAACAGAAATACCGTCGTTGTTATTGAGAATGTTGCAATATGCGCTGAGCTGTCCACTAAATCATATTTCATTTAATCAGAACGCTTCGAAAATGCTTCCATTAATTTCTAATAGCAGCAACCTTTAATTTTCAACCATCCTAAACAGACATACCTATTAACGCAGTGGTTCTCACACTCGAGTGTTCTATTGCCCTTTTGATGATCTGGTAGGCCACCGTTACCCCCCCCCCTACCCCCACCCCGCATCCTGGTATAAGAATTTACTATTTCTAAGTATAACGTCAGGAATCAACGGAAAACCGGTCCGAAAATTTCTCACCCCTTCCCAACACCTCGAAATTAGCCAAAACGGGTAATTTCACGCTTTGTGAGAATCACTGTCCTAGGCCATTGTGTTGCTCATTATTGCCATTGGTTATGCCTGCATGAAAAGCTATTCTCTATGACACACTCACTTTAAACTGATTTAAATGGATCTGCATTCTTTTCAGACGTGTTCTATTCACTCTCATAGCTATT